TCCCACCGAAAATGAAAATTTTGATCATTCTAAGATACCATTTCACAAAATCTTTGTCCTGATAAAAGGATAAAAGGTCCTTTTTTAAGTTTTTTTTTTTTGATTTTTTTTATATTTCTGACAAATAAATCATATGCCAATGTAGTATTATATGAAAGGTCTTTGGGAGACGATTTCAATGACATAACACAAAATTTTAGATTTTTCAAATTTTTTACTTAGAATTACATATTTAATGTAATTAATAGAAATTATTACATTATAAACCTCAAAAATTTCACCGAAATAGTTTTTTCTCTTTTTCGAAATTCGATAAATTTAAATTTAAAAAAATTTTTGTTTTAATAGCCCAACAAAATTAGTTTTGTAGTTTTCTACAACTTTTTACGAATTGGAAATGGAAAGCCCTTGATATCTGATTTAACATGGAAGACAATTGATCCAAGGATGCAATTTAAATATGGCAAAAACAAGGAGTATTATGCACTTGATAAACTTGTTAGGCAAAAAGCCCGAGAGGATAAGAGAAGAAGGTACAGTAACCAGGAGATGGAAGCCGAAACATATGCTATCAATAACAATAGGAGAGCTCTTTACAAAATTACCAGACAAATTACCGCCAGAAATTTTGCCAACAGCAAACCATTGCGAAAGGAGAGTTATGAACTTCTAAACAGGAGCAGATGGATGCATGCGTGAAACACTCCTCATTTTTGCTATCTAAGGAAACGGACACGCAACAGAATACCTGTGATTGTGAATTTCACACAGAAATTATTGATATTCCTTGTGATCCTCCTGGAATTTCCCAGATAATTGAAGGTATAAATTCGTTGAAGAACGGAATGGACAATATCTACACAGAATTACTTAAGGCTTCTCCGGAAATCAGTGCCAAACTCCTTTATAAAACCTTAGGACAATTCTGGGAAAATGGCGAAATTCCTGATGCACTGAAGGAATCAACCTGCCAAATTATAAACCTCATAAATTTCACCGAAATAGTTTTTTCTCTTTTTCGAAATTCGATAAATTTAAATTTAAAAAAATTTTTGTTTTAATAGCCCAACAAAATTAGTTTTGTAGTTTTCTACAACTTTTTACGAATTAAATTCATTCGAATTACTATTTATATGACCAACTCTTGTATTTGGTTGTAAATTTATGAATTTCGGAAGGCGGTCCTGCATATGGACCTTTATGAAGCGATACTACCGGAATTTTATTTAATTTATTAGATTTATGCTGAATGTATGGATATTAATATGGACATCTGGTTGATTTTCAGAATAGTGCCTTTTAGTAAAATCATGAACCAATGTTGGCCATTTTAATACCAAACAAAATTTGTCATCAATGATTTTTTTTTTTTTTTTTGATTATTTCAGCACCCTAGCTCCTATAATTCGGAACCTACCCGGTTTTCAACAAACAGACTGACATACAGATATCGATAGATCATTTCAAAATCTTATAAGGACCCACAAAAAATATATTACATTCTTAAATTTCAGATATATACTAAAAATCATTTTTTAGTCAGAGAATTTAATCGTGAATAATTCAACATTGTCTATATAACAAAAATTTGTAACGGCGAAAAGGACGTAAGCTACAAAAAATCGGATATAGCATAAATATAAAATCGAAACAAACTGCATCCTAGTTCTCATTACACATCTTAAACAAAACGATTACTGAAGCCACAACAAATTGCAACCAACCGATTACCCCGATGACGACCTTTAGAAATCGACACGATTTGAAACTTGGAATCTTCGTACCCTTCTCGATACAACACGTCTGGCGCAAGTGTGCAGTGAGTTTCGAAGATATAATTTAGTCTTCATGGGACTTTGCGAAACCCGATTACCTAAATTCGATGAATTCACAACATCTTGCAAGGCAACACTTTTGTATTCCGGAAGGCCAACCATGGAGGAGTGGCATTGGCATCCTGTTATCGAAATCCACCAAAAACGCTCTTATTGAGTGGAAACCATGGTCTGATCCGATAATAACAGCCTATTCTATGCACCAACCGATTTGGCTGATCTGTCAGCCAAGGAGGAATTTTACAACCAGCTGTCAACTGTGACAAAAACCAGAATCGTCCATATAGCCATCTGCAGAAAATGCCTCTCCATTTTCTGTTGGATGTACGCAACAAACGTGGAGCAGACTGTGCCAGTGACCGTCATCTATTGATAAGCACAATTCGACTGAAAGTTGCTGCTATCAGCTAAAATTTTTCGTAGAGAGGCTTAAAGACAAAATACAAGGTCAGGGTATATTGAATCCCTTAGGGCATACTTACCCGAATTTAATGACGAAAACTCTGCGCAAACATGGGATTCCGCAGATGGAAAGCCCTTGATATCTGATTTAACATGGAAGACAATTGATCCAAGGAGGCAATTTAAATATGGCAAAAACAAGGAGTATTATGCACTTGATAAACTTGTTAGGCAAAAAGCCCGAGAGGATAAGAGAAGAAGGTACAGTAACCAGGAGATGGAAGCCGAAACATATGCTATCAATAACAATAGGAGAGCTCTTTACAAAATTACCAGACGAATTACCGCCAGAAATTTTGCCAACAGCAAACCATTGCGAAAGGAGAGTTATGAACTTCTAAACAGGAGCAGATGGATGCATGCGTGAAACACTCCTCATTTTTGCTATCTAAGGAAACGGACACGCAACAGAATACCTGTGATTGTGAATTTCACACAGAAATTACTGATATTCCTTGTGATCCTCCTGGAATTTCCCAGATAATTGAAGGTATAAATTCGTTGAAGAACGGAATGGACAATATCTACACAGAATTACTTAAGGCTTCTCCGGAAATCAGTGCCAAACTCCTTTATAAAACCTTAGCGAAATTCCTGATGCACTGAAGGAATCAACCTGCCAAAAAGGGAGTGTAAAAACTGGGGACATTGATAAACATGACGAATATGATAATTGCTCAAATAATCAACAAACGCCTAGCTGATGCATTTAATCCAGTTCTAAGAAATGATTTCATTCAAAAACAAGTAAGAAATTACAGTCGGGCGTGGCCGACCATATGATACCCTACACCAATTGCGAATATTAAATGTGATTAATTTCAATAATGAAGCATTTATGTTAATCTTATATAGGTTCCAAATAATGTCTGTTCATGTACGGTTGTATGCTGACTAGGAGAAATAAAAGACCGATTTCAATCATTTTCAACAGCCTTCGTCATTGGATCCAGAGAATAGTATGTGACAAATTTTAACAAATTATATTCAAAATTGTGATCTGTTGCGTGCACACAAGGTTTACACGGTTACAATGATGGACATAGCTTAATATGGACAAATATTTTTGAGTGTTACAAACATCACCAAATTGTGCCGTCTGTTGGATAGATAGTGAAAAAAATTGCGTATTTCTCCGAGATAACCATTCACTCGATCGCTTAGCACGTTTTTCATATGATATAAATCCAACACCCTGTGAAGGTGTGGGGAGTTTAGAGAGGTGGAAGTTAAACAGTAGGGGATAGGATACCGCATTGTGGTACTCCTTGTATAACTCTACGGGTTTTTGAACACTTGTCTCTAAACTCAACGAACGACTGACGACCATTTAGATAATTCACAATGCATCTCTTCAAGTTGTTGGGCATGGTGTACTTCAGGATGTCCTGGAAGATTGTGGTTTGGCTGACTGTATCGAAGGCGTTCGTTAAATCCAGCGCCACCAGGAGTGTCCTTTCACAAGCCTCTGCTGGTTTAAGCCCCGTGAGATCTGAGTGGTTATGGCGGTTAATGTTGGGGTGGTGCTGTGCTGCGGTGGGAAGAGGAGCGCTTCAAGAGCTTTCGCGACCGGTGGAAAATCGGCCTGTAGAATTGACCCTCTGTATGAAGATGACTCTACCCTTCTTCTAGGCATTAGATATTTTCAGGCTGATCGTTAACAGGTTAAAAACCATTGTCAAGTAAATACTCTGGAATCGAGGCCATGTAAATGGCATCGGGGCCAATCGCCTTAGATAGTTTGGCAGCGTTGATGGCCTCTGCAACTATATTAAGGGTGTAGAGTTGTGGAATGTTCGGGACTAAAAGGTTGTAGAATTTGCGAATAACACTTCGTTCGCCTTATCTCTCTGGGGGCTCAATATAAAAATCTTGCAAAATGCATGCGAGCACCGTTCAGGGTTGAAAATAGTAATATCTGCAAACTTAATCGCGACCCTGTCATCCTTCTTCATCGCTGTCATCCTGCTAGTCTCGCTGCTTCTGCTGGAAAGTGCGGCCGCACCACGGATAGTCGAGTTTCGCGAAATTCTTGCTGTCTGCTTGGTGTACTTTGGTAGGAGTTGGAAGATAATTGAAGATACGGTCAGTGAATTCTCTGAAGCCGAGTCAGTCTGTTTTCTTTTGGTTTATGTAATGTCGGTGTTCAGAGACGATAAAGTCGTTGGGTCGGTCCAGACATACGATTATGGGTTTCGTAGTTAGTCAGACCAGTACTCGCTCTTGTTATATCTGGTGAGTTGGCGCAGTTACCCATAGTCCGTGTGGGCGCATCATCATTCAGGGTATTCCGCCAGTGACGCCTCTCTGGTCTTCCCCTAGACTAAAGTGCCAGAGCTAATGTTGCGCATTAAAGCCCCCAAGGACATTAACGGTACGTAAACCGTTGCATGAAAATGGGAAAAGTTTATAATATCCTATATCAAGACAAAAATTGTGATAAGATGCAGCTGGAAAATAGTGTAAATATCGTGGTAATAATCTTCGTAACAGAATTTTTTTTGCTGAACAAATAATAATGGTTCTGCGATATAATTGTGTCAGTTATCAAGGGTGCAGAAGGTCACAGTGTTTTTAAAATTGGAGTGATATTTATAGTTCACACGACCAATGGCCTGGATGCGGGCCGGTCTTCACTAGGAATAAATAAAACTGTTTAATTTACATAATTAATTCATTAAAATAAAAATATAAGTTAATAAATTACACAAATGAGAATTGTTCAAAAAAATCATTAAAATTTAATATTATTTCTACTGACAAGATATCGTTACAAATCCAGCAGGCATTTCCAATATCATCAAAACAATCATTGCAGTAGGAAACTTTACATGCTGCATTTCTACAAAAGACGAATTTTGAATCTGTAAATTTAAAGAAAATGTTGCTTAGAGTCTCGAACATTTGAACGAATCTACATGTGTAACTGTACTACACCAACACAGTAATTCATTCGAATTACCTTCCAATTCGCCACATATAACGCATTTTCGACGACCAATATGAAATTTAATCAACCAATTGAAGTAACGAGGCCAACTTAGCCGCAAAACCTACGAAAAAGAACAACAATACCAAATTATTTAAATATTTCATTGTTAATAAATCTAAATATATGTATGTATGTGTGTACATATATTAGGGTGGCCTCGTTTGTATGGAGGAATCATAAGATACTGATGAGGCTTGGTTCATTCTAAAATACCATTTTCAATTTTTTTGTTCTGGGGTCAGCATTTGGTGATCAGGATCAAAGGACAAAAAGGTCCTTTTTTAAGGTTTCTCCATGTTTCACACAAAGGAATGATATACAATTTTAATATCTTGGGAAAGTTCTTTGAGACACGCTTTCAATGGCGTATCATTAATTTTTGTGGTATTTCAAAAATATTGAAAGTTTTTAGGAAAAATTTAATTTTTTTTTAATTTTTACAAATTATCATAACTTGTTTTTGTACTTCAAACTGAAACGGTTTTTCGTTTTTCGAAATTCAATTTCATTTGAAAAAAAAAAATAAATATATCTAGTGATATCTAGAGATTTATTATAATATGTCGATTTTTATCGTTTATATATATGTATGTAAACAAAACCAAATGTTTATGTTTTGTTTGACAAATTAAAATTAAAAAATAAATTAAAAAGAAAATTTATTTTTTTTAATTTTTTTTTTTTTTTTTTGAAAAAACTTTTTATCAACATTACAAATAGAATACTAATTCAACAACATTATTCCACAAAATTTTCGTTAAAATTTGTTTGTACGAAATCTTTAAAAATATCAGGTGAAATTTTGAACGGAGTACCTAGCTTAAGGCATTTATTTAATAAGCTTGTTTATAAGAAATTCTAAATGCTTAAATTATGTGTTGTCGTAAAAATCGAAAATTCAAAAATACGATTTAATAAGGGTTATATACATATGTATATAAATTCCGACATCCTTATAGTCAATTTTACATGTTTCAATGTTATTGTTTTTGTAAATTTTCATTATCAAATTTTTAATTTAAATTTCTTACAAAAAAATTTCACACCTGGATTCAGGAACATTAAATCTACCCCAGATTTAATGGATCAGTGTTATTTATTCTATGTAAAACTTCAAAAAAACAAACATTTTTCGAAAAATTAAAAATGTTTTAATACTTTTGTAATTGCATATACATACATATGTACATAAATGTTTGATACGGCATTGAAAGCGCCTTTCGAAAACCATTCATATGATACCAAATTTGTGTATGTTTAATAAGAAATGTATAAGAATTATGGAAAATAACATAAACACCTCAAAAAGAACGGAAATTAAAATTTAGTTTATTCAATAGCTTTGTTCCTTTACTTGTCAAGTTTGCAGGTTTTTATCAGAAATTGTAAAAGAGAACAAATTTGAGCAATTAAAATTATTTTCTCTTTGCCAGAACTTGCAGGTTTTAGCCAGAACATTTTTTCCTGGCAAATAGAAAAAAAAAATTGTCAAATAAATTATTTGTTTAAAAAAAATACATTGAAAACAAAAAATGTTTGATATTTTTGATTTATTTTCATAAATAAGTATGTGTGATTGTAGTTTTTCAATTTTATTTTAATTCCAATAGAAATTTATATGGGCACTGGCACACGTTCAATATATATTGATCAATATGAATCACGACCCATTTTAATAGTTTGATGAATACCTCGGCATGCTACACGTTCAATATTTATCGCGTCAGTATTTTCATTATTTCCTGCTACACGGGTCGTTCGATGATAACAAGAATGCCGCGAAAACTCCAATTTCATACAAATTTAGAAAAAATTTATTATCTTTTATATTTTTTATTAACATTTAAAAAAATATTTGACTTTGTTTTTTTTTTTATTTAATTTATTTTTCCGAATTTTACAAATATATCGTGATTGATATCACAAAACATGATATCACATTCAATATTTATCACGTGATCCATTATAAATATTGATACAAATTTTGGATTTCAGAAAATTGGTGTTTTCTGTGATATGGAACACGATCCGTCAATATTACATGCTACACGTTCAATACATATCACAATACAGCAAATATCACGATATATATTGAACGTGTGACACTGCCCTTTATTCATAGGGCAGTACAAATACAAATTTATTGAAAGAGAAATTTTGTTTTTTCTGTTCCCGTACTTTTTATAAGTACGAAGAGAAAATTCATTAATTCTCTTTAGCCAGAAAAGTTCTGGAACAAAGCTAATACGTCAATATCCAGCTTACCAAATATTGACGTATTGAATAGCAGCAACTTCCACCCTAATTTTATCCTTCTGGCTTTTGACCATGTTTCGCATACAAATGAAAATTTCATCAAACAAGTTCAATAACGTATAACTTACCAAGAATAAATTTGCTTTTAAACGTATTTGTCGATTTGCGAAATTCGATTTGGCCTCCCCTTTTATAGTCTCCCTTAGGGTCCGTCTTTGTTTAAGTAAACAATTGTACAGATACAATATTCTTTTCTTTTCATGCTTTCGATAAAAATAACCACAAATTATTCGACGCATACGCAAAAATCGGCTACTCTGATAAATTAGTAGCAATACAATTGTATATAAACCAGCTAGTTTTAAATAAAAACTATAAATATATTAATTACTAGTTGTTAAGCCAGGCAAGAAAAATAACAAAAGTATATTTAAACAAGTAAGAAATTATAGTCGGGCGTGGCCGACCATATGATACCCTACACCAGTTATGAATATTAAATGTGATTTATTTTTCATAATAAAGCATTTATCTTCAATATTCCCTTGTTCCGATACATTTAAGCAATTTATGGATGAAAAACTAATTTTCTGAAAGAGGCTTTATATAGGGGCTAGGGGCAAATATGGACCAAGCCCGATAAAATTTTGTGAATATATTTATATTGACATAATATTTTATTGTGCTGAATTTCATCGCGATATTTGTGTTTATAAGTTAATTTGGGACATTCAAGTAACTTTCTGAAGGGGACTTTGTATGGGAGCTAGGGTCAAATGTGGCCCGATCTTTATGAAATTTGGCAGGGTCATCAAGACTTCTATAAAACTTAGTTGTGCCGTATTTTATCGATATATCTGTATATTTAACATAATTATGAGCTCAGAAGCCCTTTTCGGGGGGTTCTGTTGTATGGGGGCTAGGTGAAATAATGGACCGATTTTAACCATTTTCAATAGGCTTCGTCCTTGGGTCAAATAAAACGTGCGTGCCAAATTTCATCCAATTATCTTGAAAATTGCGACCTGTACCTTGCGCACAAGGTTTACATGGACAGCCAGCCAGCCAGCCAGACGGACGGACGGACGGACATAGCTTAATCGACTCAGAAAACGATTCTAAGCCGATTGGTATACTTTAAGGTGGGTCTAGGACGAATATTTTTGTATGTTACAAACATCAGCACAAATCCAATATACCCTCCCCACTAAAGTGGTGTAGAGTATAAAAATCAAAGGATAATAAATGAAAATACAATAAGATAAACTTAATAATTAATTAACGAAATAGTACACAAATTTGTAAGTTAAAATTTTGTTTAATATTTTTACCCCCGTTAACACCAACTCCGGTTATCGTTTAACCGGTAGATATTCTGCCAGTTAAAATAATTTTTGTATGAAAACTGTCAATTTAACCTTACGATAAAATATAACCAGACATTGAGATAATGGGGGTTAGTCGAAAAATATTAGCTAACTGGGGAAATTTAGTTTGCTTTATGAAACAAAGAGGACTTCATCTTGGAGTCTCAATAAAGGAGATAAAAGATACGCTAAGTGAGGTATTAGGGGTCAAAGGTTACAAAAATCAGTTTTTTTTAATTAATTTGATTATTGTGATTCCGACGACTTCAGATGATTTTTGTTGACAATTAATTTTTCTATATTTTAGCTGAAGACTATTTTTGTATATCATTATTTATTTTACTAATATTTTCAAATCTTAATATAGATCGCAACGTCTGTCTATCCGTAACTTCAGATAGTGTTACAGATCATAAATATTAATAAAACTTGAAAAAATGTGTGGCCAGAGTAATATTCTTATATAAATAAATATTTTGTATCCATTTTAAAATTTTCAAAAGTGTAAACACATTATGGCGTTTTTATAATTTATCAACAGTATTAAGTGTGCCATTGTTGCCTCGTCCCAAATAATGAGTTTCGCCTTTTTTAATCAGATTTGCATCAATTGAATTTGCCCCCTTAATCAAGTTAGAAAACTCCAGATATTTAAACAGAGAGTAATAAGTACAGACTCCTTTCACTTATCAGGTCCCTTTTTTCTTTTACCTCTTCGCCCTAATAGCGGATATCAAAAATCCAGTTCAATATTCATCTTCTCCTTGATCCGTACAACATGAATGTCAATTTTCACATTTCTAGGTCATTGAGGAACTTATAAATTAGTTAAAATGTAAAAAAACAGAAAATTTCCACTCCCATTTTTCCTGTAATTCTCCGTCCATAGTGCAAAAATGTCAATTCTAAATGTTTTAAGGTAAGCTCCAAAGTCAGTATAATATGCTTGGCAATTATTAACTTCATTGGTTTTTAGAGGCATCAAAATTTGCTGAAATGTAAAAAAACACAATTTTGCACCGCCACTCTTCCTATCCAATTCTACGCCCGTAGTCCATAAATCTTAGATCCGACTTCTTCCATTGATAGGACTTTATGTAAGGCAATTTTCAGCTTCCTATGCCTTTAATATAAGCTAAAATATTAAAAAATAGAATTTTTCCAAGCCCCTTTTTCCTCCTAATTCCCCAGCAACAGTCCAAAAATCAAAAATCCCACTACGGGGCCAAAATATTTTACTATATCTATGCCAAGTTTAAGCTTTCTAACCCATCTGTGGGCTTCAAATTTTGGATAAACAAAAAGGGGAAAGTCAGTGAATTTTGACACGCACCTTTTTCCTACTAATTCTCCGCCCACAGACCAAAAATCAAAAAACCGGCTACGTTAGGATTTCACCTAGTTTCAGCTTTCTAGCCCATATGTGAGTTTAAAAAAGCTCTGGATAGACAAAAAAGGGGGAACAAACAATTAAGGAAATTATATACATATGTATATAGATTTGTTTTTATTTTGTGAAAACATACTACATTTTCACTAATAACATAATTATTTTAGCATTAATAATTATTCCTTTGTTAAAAATATTTATGTACATTAGGGTGGCCCCAAAATGGAACTTGCTGATGTTCCCACCGAAAATGAAAATTTTGATCATTCTAAGATACCATTTCACAAAATCTTTGTCCTGACGTCAATATTTGGTGAGCTGGATCAAAGGATAAAAGGTCCTTTTTTAAGTTTTTTTTTTTTTTGATTTTTTTTATATTTCTGACAAATAAATCATATGCCAATGTAGTATTATATGAAAGGTCTTTGGGAGACGATTTCAATGACATAACACAAAATTTTAGATTTTTCAAATTTTTTACTTAGAATTATTTAATGTAATTAATAGAAATTATTACATTATAAACCTCATAAATTTCACCGAAATAGTTTTTTCTCTTTTTCGAAATTCGATAAATTTAAATTTAAAAAAATTTTTGTTTTAATAGCCCAACAAAATTAGTTTTGTAGTTTTCTACAACTTTTTACGAATTAAATTCATTCGAATTACTATTTATATGACCAACTCTTGTATTTGGTTGTAAATTTATGAATTTCGGAAGGCGGTCCTGCATATGGACCTTTATGAAGCGATACTACCGGAATTTTATTTAATTTATTAGATTTATGCTGAATGTATGGATATTAATATGGACATCTGGTTGATTTTCAGAATAGTGCCTTTTAGTAAAATCATGAACCAATGTTGGCCATTTTTAATACCAAACAAGATTTGTCATCAATGAATTTTTTTATTTTTTTTTTTTTTTTTTTTGATTATTTCAGCACCCTAGCTCCTATAATTCGGAACCTATCCGGTTTTCAACAAACAGACTGACATACAGATATCGCCAGATCATTTCAAAATCTTATAAGGACCCACAAAAAATATATTACATTCTTAAATTTCAGATATATACTAAAAATCATTTTTTAGTCAGAGAATTTAATCGTGAATAATTCAACATTGTCTATATAAGAAAAATTTGTAACGGCGAAAAGGACGTAAGCTAAAAAAAATCGGATATAGCATAAATATAAAATCGAAACAAACTGCATCCTAGTTCTCATTACACATCTTAAACAAAACGATTACTGAAGCCACAACAAATTGCAACCAACCGATTACCCCGATGACGACCTTTAGAAATGGACACGATTTGAAACTTGGAATCTTCGTACCCTTCTCGATACAACACGTCTGGCGCAAGTGTGCAGTGAGTTTCGAAGATATAATTTAGTCTTCATGGGACTTTGCGAAACCCGATTACCTAAATTCGATGAATTCACAACATCTTGCAAGGCAACACTTTTCTATTCCGGAAGGCCAACCATGGAGGAGTGGCATTGGCATCCTGTTATCGAAATCCGCCAAAAACGCTCTTATTGAGTGGAAACCATGGTCTGATCCGATAATAACAGCCTATTCTATGCACCAACCGATTTGGCTGATCTGTCAGCCAAGGAGGAATTTTACAACCAGCTGTCAACTGTGACAAAAACCAGAATCGTCCATATAGCCATCTGCAGAAAATGCGCAAATACGCAACAAACGTGGAGCAGACTGTGCCAGTGACCATCATCTATTGATAAGCACAATTCGACTGAAAGTTACTGCTATCAGCTAAAATTTTTCGTAGAGAGGCTTAAAGACAAAATACAAGGTCAGGGTATATTGAATCCCTTAGGGCTTACTTACCCGAATTTAATGACGAAAACTCTGCGCAAACATGGGATTATGTTAGAAACTGTTTTTTAAGGGCCGCATGGAAAGCCCTTGATATCTGATTTAACATGGAAGACAATTGATCAAAGGAGGCAATTTAAATATGGCAAAAACAAGGAGTATTATGCACTTGATAAACTTGTTAGGCAAAAAGCCCGAGAGGATAAGAGAAGAAGGTACAGTAATCAGGAGATGGAAGCCGAAACATATGCTATCAATAACAATAGGAGAGCTCTTTACAAAATTACCAGACAAATTACCGCCAGAAATTTTGCCAACAGCAAACCATTGCGAAAGGAGAGTTATGAACTTCTAAACAGGAGCAGATGGATGCATGCGTGAAACACTCCTCATTTTTGCTATCTAAGGAAACGGACACGCAACAGAATACCTGTGATTGTGAATTTCACACAGAAATTATTGATATTCCTTGTGATCCTCCTGGAATTTCCCAGATAATTGAAGGTATAAATTCGTTGAAGAACGGAATGGACAATATCTACACAGAATTACTTAAGCTTCTCCGGAAATCAGTGCCAAACTCCTTTATAAAACCTTAGGACAATTCTGAGAAAATGGCGAAATTCCTGATGCACTGAAGGAATCAACCTGCCAAAAAAGGGAGATCTGACTCAGTGTAAAAACTGGGGACATTGATAAACATGACGAATATGATAATTGCTCAAATAATCAACAAACGCCTAGCTGATGCATTTAATCCAGTTCTAAGA